GTGCTGAGCTTCACGTTCTGCCGAAGTGAATCTTCAAAGAACAAATCTTCGAACTCTGAACTCTAAACCCTAACGCTCTGATACCATATCAGAAGTGAGGCAATACAAGAAAGAGTCGAGAGACACAGATACTGAGTACTGGAGAGCAGATCTTAGTTAATGGGGAGAGAACCCGGATGGGGAATATATACCCAACCGTGACAGTCCGAGAGATACAGAAACCCTAGTGGACAGCGGCTGGTCGTGACAATCTGTCACAACCCCGACTATAGTACAAAGTACATACAGCAAAGAACTTGAGTGTACGGAGGTCCAAGAAGTGGGTAGTAATTCGACTTCTAACAAATATACATGCGTATATAGTGAAACATCATCGATTAATGTGATGAAGTACCTACATTTCGAAAATGTTTGAGTTCTCAGAGTGCCAGAAATATCAGTGTGTACTAGACCAAGAAGGTCTTTAGCATGAGTGGCTCCTTTGTTTGGGAACTTGGCTCTTGTCGACTTCCCTAGAGCACATGATGTGCAGAAAGGGAGAGTCTGAAAAGAACATTTCTCCAACCCTTCTACCATATGATGCTGCTTCATTTGCTGAATCCGCGGAAGACTCATATCGCCGAGCTTGAGATGCCATTGGTAGGTGTCCAGCTCTTTGGTGTTGGAAGCCGAATAACAAACATCAGCAGGAACTGCAAGTGTGTTGAAAGAAGTCGTTTCCAGCCTAAACAGGTTGTTATCATTGATGCACTGAGCAATGATGTTACCCTTCTTTCCCTTCAAGATGCATCTTTAAGGTATAACGAGTAGACTCGCTCCTTGCTGAACAAGTTGATGTATTGAAAAGAGATTCTTGTGGAGACCAGGAACGTGTAACACTTCAGAAATTATCCGTTCTTGTCCATCGTTCAAAGAAATGAAGACATTAACTTTTCCCTGAATGAGTTGGCGACTGTCGTCGCCGAGATATACAAACTCCTTCGATGGGAGTTCAGTATATGTCACAAAAGCACTTTTGTTGTATGCCATGTGTTGAGTAGCACCAGAATCCAGGTACTAGGCTGGATCCATTCCGATGGATGTTAGAACAGTGACATACAACCGCTGGTGATCGTTTGGTGTAGAATGTGAAGAAGCACTGTCGTGTTTCTTCTTCCGGCACTCGCTGGCAAGATGACTTTTCTTCTTGCAGTAGAAACATTTCATCTTTTGCCTGGAAAAAAATGGTTTTGCAGGAGGTTCTGGTCGTGATGAAGGACCTGCCTCAGTGGAGTGTCTAGGATGCATCATCTTTGGCGCCCCCCCTCGTTTCTTTGCTGTGTAGAGTGCTGCCATACCTTCTGTCAACTCTTCTTCTTCTTGAAGGTGTGATTCTTCAAGAAGAACACCAGCAATAACAGATTGGGTGGTCAAAGTTTGCTGTGTCCTCATGGAGCGCACAAAGGATCTATACTCGATGGGAAGACTCTGAAGGAGACAGGTATAAGCTTCTACCTCTGGAATAGTCTGCCCTATAGATGCCAACTGGTGAAGAAGTAGACGAAACTTGGAGATATGTTTCGCTACAGACTCGCCTGACTTCATTTTGAGAGAATGCAATGAATCTCTCAAGTGCATCTGCATTGGTACATCATGGGATTCAAAACAGTTCTGCCCAGGCCTCTGCAGCTGTAGAATGGCGAGCGATCAATGGATGTTGATGGTCTTTCAACAAGTCACTCAACACCGCCAAGGCCATGAGATTTTTAACATCCCATTCTTGCTTGCTCCCTGCGCCTGACTCTGGAGTTCTTGTTGTAGAACCAGGTGGAGTGCTTGGCCGAACTTCTGTTCCTTCCATGATGCCCATCAGTCCTTCCAGTTGAAGGATTAAACTGATCTTGCTCTTCCAGACATGGAAATGCTCCCCACTGAATCTGGGGAGGTCTTTCCATGCGATTCGGGTTGAAACCCCTGGAGAAGTCATCTTCCTCAACTCGAACTAAACTCTGTGCTAAGCTTCACGTTCTGCCGAAGTAAACCTTCAAAAGTCTTCAAACTCTGAACTCTAAACCCTACTGCTCTGAGTGAGGCAATGCAAGAAAGAGTCGAGACACAGGTACTGAGTCTTGGAGAGAAGATCTTAGTCAATGGGGAGAGAACCCGGATGGGGGATATATACCCAACCGTGACAGTGGTCATCCGAGAGATACAGAAAACCCTAATGTTCAGCGGCTGGTCGTGACTAAGTGTCATGACCACGACTATAGTACAAAGTACATATGTCAAATAACGTGAGTGTACGGAGGTCCAAGAAGTGGGTAGTAACACGACTTCTAACATTCTTAAATTTGAAGTCAGGTTTCCTCTGTATTTAGAGGTAAAATAGTAGCTGTAATAGCTTAAACTTAATGACTACTAGGGTTTAGTTAGGTTCTGTTTATAAGTGTTTTCACCGGCCATCAGCGGCCATAAGATTAGGTTTTCGAGTTTGGGTATAAGCCTAAGTTTGAGCCATCAACTTTGGTTTGTAATTTGCTTGTCTGAGTGTTACACACATCTAGCTAGTGGTAGTCCTATCTGTTTGTCGGATTGAGAGACATTGAAAAGTGATAGCATAATTTTGAGTTCGGGTCATGTCAGTAGAGAGTGGGATCTGAGTGTTGCCTGACTTCTATCCGAGTGTTGCCTACCTGAGGATCACGGGAGTGGTACCAAGTCTTGGAGTCATAAGTCACTAGTGATACATCTAGAACAATTTCATGTGAATAGCTCCAACAGAGTTCAAAATATCAAAGAGTTATGGGCCCACACTCGATTGTTGAGTTTGATAAGATCGACAAGATCATGAAGCTTACCTCGTTGAATAACAGAAAATGGGAGAATGGGCACTTGAGATTGAAAATAATCTGAGGCTTTATGGTCACTGGAAGTTCTGTCAAAAACCTGAAAACATTGAAAAGTGTTTTGAAGATGAGATGTTCACATTAGAGCATCTGATGGTCATCAGGTGCTGTGATGACCAGGAGTTAAAAATACCTGGATGGTATTAAAATTCATTATGCAGCTCTGATATGAGTTACAACAGTCAACAATTTAGCAACATGAAGGAGATATGGAGATACGTAGAGCGCGGAGATATAGCGAAAGCTCACTGACTTGGAATGGGAACTATTCCAAGGATTTGAACAATTACTTGGCACTCAATGACTTGGAGTAGGAACTACTTCAATGATTTGAATAATCATTTTGCACTAGTGTGGGTCAATGAACACGGTCAGCCAACTTAATATGGTGGTGCTGAAAGTTAGATATGTTCCTGAATATGTTAAATATTCGTGAGCTTGCCCCCGGGTAAGGTCACTCAAACGGACTTTGATGTGCATTTTAGAAGAGATTCTTGAATGGATAATGGCCGATAGGTGGTATACTATGGAGGTTTGGATGGCAACTAACTTGCACGTCAGAGGTGAAGCAGAGGTGAAGCAGAAGAATTTTGAACATGCTTACTTTGCACCTAAGCATTGAATGAGGTTGAGTCACAGGAGAGTGGATACCTAATATACTTGACCAATAGCGTCAAAAGCATGAAGGATGCGCAGTGGAGGAAGGATGATTTCATAAACATGGTAGAAAGTCATACAGAAACTGGTACAGGAAGGAAATGAAGAGATTAATATTAGTGGAGGTATAAAGTAAATAGATTATAAGTAGCGTGAAAGGATGTGAGAGTTAGAGATAGCCCATCACACAATCCAAGAGCAGAGAAACTCCACAGCACCATCAGAGATAAAACTATGAGAGAGCCCGAGCTAATCTGAATGTGTAATTTCGGGGAACAATGTCGAGAAGGAGCCAAAGCTTCTTACTATAATTAAAACGCTGCTGTTATATCATTCTGTTATTGCATTGTGTGATGAAATATCTCTAGCTGTTACATCTATAAATATTCTCCTCATATTTAATTTACTTAGATTTATTTACTAGAAGAATCTCCATTAATGATTATTTCGGGAATAATTCTGGGAGGAGCTTTGGTTTAAAGACTGCTTACTGCATCTGAAGCAAATGTCATACTTCAAGCATCGAGGGGCATCATACCAGAGGAAGGATTAAGTGGTAAGTAACTTCATACCATTCTGAGAGTGTTTGGGTGTTCAGCTCATTCTCACATACCAAAGAATCAGAAGAAAAAACGTGAAATGAAAAGCTCAAGAAATTTCTTAATCGTTATGAAGAACGATTAAAAGAAATCATTCTATTCAATCAAAAAATCTAGAGAACAATCCTGAGGATATGAACGGATGTTAGCTTTGCAAAACTTGCTATAGCTTCTGAACCTGCTACTCTACCTGTCTTACTATCATTTCCAGTACCTTGTAATCATAGAAGTCTATCTTTATCACGAAGACATACATTTCAGAACCCCAAATTTCTGCTGCTTCTGAAGTTGAAAGTCAGATGGTGCCTTATGAAGTAGGTATTGGAAGAGGAAACGTACTTACATGTAACTGATGGGTACATTGTTTCATGTGGAAATATGTGTTCGTTGGAGAAAGCACTCTATGGGCTGAAGCAAGCTCCTACAAGTGCAATAAAAGATTATATAGGTATATCAGGCTACAAGACTTTCAGAGAGCACTCCCAGAATTGAGTTTGTATATCAAGCATGGAGTGTTTTACAATGCATTGTATGTAGATGATCTGCCACTGGTCGGGAAAGGGAGTGAAGGCAGTGAAAAGGTCTTAAAGAATTATGTAAAATCTCTGACTTGGATTGAAATTCCTATATGATCTACCGGCATTGTGAAGATATACGAGAATGACAGGCCTTTTTCATCTCCAAGTTTGACATCAACCTTCACACCACTGATCATTAACTTGATACAACTAAACCTTTAATTGAGTGAGCAGTGATGCTCGGCCATTGTTGGATATCGAGAAAATATCTGTAGTTACGAACTAGAGCATAGTTCGCTCATCGTGGACTTTGGTTTAGACTTACTTTCCATTGTGCACAGTATGCAGGAACTTGACGAGGCATACAAAGATGCTCTAAACGGACGACCTTCAGCAAGACCTTTGATTGAACTTACTATTCCATCCGCAGTGGACCCTACGATCGCTCCTCCTGGTGCGTGAGTTTGAAACTCAAGAAGTACATGCTGTTGATCCTTAGTTCAGTCTTCTTATGTAATTAACATAATCAAGTGCGAAACTGATCAGTTTCTCCTCAAGGGGATTGCAGAGCATATACCATTTGTAATTGAAGGTCTGGCAATTCTTTTTGGTTATTGCGTTCAAATTATCTGAATGGCAGTGGTATGCTTTCCTAAATGTGACACATTTAGGAAAGCATGTCATCAACATGTTCGTGCAGTATACACCTTTTCATCTGGCAGAAGGAAGCTGGCAAGATCAGGAAACTAGAGTGAGTAACTAAGTTTTGAATGTGTACAACATAGATATAGAAATGTCCAGCAGGATCGGATAGCGAAACTTACTCCTTCAGAGCATTTTTTCACAAAGTATGAACACTGGACATTTATGTATGTTTTGCGTTAACTCAGCTCCATTGGTTGCTCACGTAGAGAAATGCTGTCGTGCTTTATTTATCCTAGGCACTGAAATAATGCTGCTTATCAGGTCGTATTTTCGGGCTTGGGGGTCCTTCGTAAGGTCATGTCCCCGCATGTCGATACATCGATATGAGCTCTCTAACATAGTTCTCTTCCACAGGCAGCCTTTGCAAAGAAATGTTTTTCTATAGTGGATGAGTACGCTCCTGGATTCAGTTCATCTATTGTAGGTTATGACATGCTCACACCACCTGATCTGGAGAGGATTTTTGGTCTCACAGGTAACATCTTTCCTGGCCTCTTCAAACACTGGAATTTAATTGTGAGTTATGATGTGTGTCGCGTGAGAACGTAGCAACCGCAATGTTCGTTTAATTCTTGTACGCATTTGCATCACAGTTCTTGGTGGAAAAAATGTGCAGGAGTGCTGGATTGCAGCTAAAATAGAATTATTTGATAGTTCAGCAATTCGCTTGATCATCTGGACTCATAATGTACGTGTGGGAAAAGCAGGTGGGAATATTTTCCATGGAGAAATGGGATTGGATGCCCTCTTTCTTCTTCGTCCCATCAAAGGCTGGTGAGTCCTTAACCCCATTTCTCTGTTACTCCATTTCATTTTACTCGTTGGTTTCACCAAGGAAGCGTTTCCTTGATGAAGGTAGACCCCTAAACATACTTAATTATTTCTATAATATAATCACCTCCTACTATCTACTTCAGCAGGATGAGGGAACACAGAGTCTTATAGCTCTGAGGAACATGATTACAATACTTTGCTGTGTTGCGTCAACCGAGTCGAAGACATCTTCTCGCTTGTACTCGCACACCATTGGAATGCACAGAGTAGGACAAAAAGATGTCTGGAACTCGTCGTTCAATTTACAATCCGCAGAAGCCGTCCAAATATGACACCAACCACAGACGTCACTGAGAAGCGTAACAGCATGCAGATAATGGTTCTGATGCATGAATGCAGTACGTCGTTCTCTTTTTACAATGCCTGACCAGTTGCTGTGTGTTTATTAGGGCCCATTATCGAACTCCACTGGCTGGGTTGTATCTCTGTGGTGCCGGTGCACATCCTGGAGGAGGTGTGATGGGAGCTCCAGGAAGAAATGCGGCTAACGTGGTTTTGCAGGATATGGGAAGGTAGGTTTGCTGTGCACGTTTACGGAATTTTGGAAGTCAACACTTCCGCCGATTTATACTCCATATATTTGGTACTAAGCCTCTCTATGCATTCTGGTTGGCAGAGCAGGCCTGATAGTCTGCAGAAAGTGGTCAAGATACAGTGTACAGAAACTGGAATCTGACTAAGAAGCCTTCAAATACATGTATAAAGGTCTAAAACTTTGGGTATTTTACCATCGTCCAGTTATGTGGTTTATGGCGAGGTTAAGATTTTATATATTTATTTTACTTATGACTGGATGTCGTCCAAGTACACTTGTTGCTCCTTGCGCTTGATAGTAGTCGATGGGTTCATGAATTATGGGGATGTCATTGTCATGGAAAAACAATTTGACATTAGAAAATAGTTGTACTGAATTACCATGTTATATATTCAAAAAATTTCAGCCATTAGGTAATGGTCTCAGCCTTGTGCCGCTTTGGACATCTCTCTGTTGTCAAGTCCTTTTCTCTGTCCAACTCAATCACTTCTACATCTACAGGAAGTTCTTCTAGTTTCTGAGTTCTAATGCGATTGCCAGATGCCACAAAATCCACAGCAGTGTCGGGTGTCGATGTGTTCATAAGTTCCAGTTGAACCCCTTTGCTGAAAGAACTAGCATTGTCATGGATATTGTCAGTAAGGCCATTGCCTGTCTGACTTAAGGAATCGTCCTTGCAGAGAGATGCCATTGGCGTGTTACCATTAGTCTCCATTTCCTGTGATGTTGGACCTACATGGTCAGTTTTCGACCTTGTTATCGCAGGTTTCACCTCCTCTATGCTTTTCCTGTGAGTGAAGGATAGGATCCCTTCACTATCTCTACTGTCCATATTGAGGTCCAGATCGAATCGACCGCAGGAACTGTGGTACTTAGACCTCCATCCTCTGGAGTACAGCCTTTTGTACAAATCTGCTGTTCTGGCCACTGGTGAATGCTGCTGTAAGGAGACACAAACACGCTGTCAAAAGGTGTTTATCGTCACTTTCCACGCGGTCCACACACGTGAATGAGATCTATTGCCTACGCAAGACAATGTGCCCGGCAGTGACCTCTTGGTCGCAGTTTGGCAATCAGACTCAGAAAATTTCTGGCAACTGTCAGTCGGAAGACACGAACACTCATGGCTTACCTGGGGGGGAGTACCATGCACAAGTTGGTCCATTTCTTGCTGTAGCTTAGAAACCTCCGATCTCATATATGCCTCAGTCAATTCTTCCATGCCCGCCCCTTGTCCAACCGCTATGGTATGTTCGAGCCCATGGATGGTGCTTTCTAAACTTCGAACCTGCAATATAACAACAGTACAGGCGTGAAGTTTGCGGAGAGAGTGCCCTCCCGTAGACATTCCAGCCGAGGCCCCCACTTTCATCATAACTTCGCCTGGAGCAGCTAAAATGTGCACGTACAGCGATGAGTCTATATTCAACTTTTCAGAAGCCTGAAGATCTGATATTGGTGACTCTTTGTTTGAGCTGACTATGCGCCGAGTTCTATTATGGAAAAGAATATCGACCGGGGAAGGAACGGAGAACACTTGCAGTAAAGAGCACGACCCACGATTTACCTTGCGTCCTGGCCACCGTTTGAGACCGAACTTGCGGCACGCCTTCTTCAATGTGGTCTGGGAGACTCCAAGCTTTTTCGCTGCATCCACGACGCTAAGATGAAAGTACGCCGATAGATCTGACAGCTTCAGATGATGTGTTCCCACACCCTGCAACAACAAGCAGGCGCCTTGAAATTCAAGTTATCTGGCAAGAATTTGACATCTGAGGCCACACCTTGACCCGATTGAACCGGTCTTACCATCTGCGAAAATCCGTTACAACATTGCTTGTGGAGCTAGAGCGCGCTATGCCTTCTAGAATTACAACATCTCCCAACAGGCGGTTTTTGCCAGTGTGCACTGGGGGATGGGAGATCGAAGACATTTGCCAGAATCAAAAGGTACAACAGATGGATGCATAAGAAGAAAAACGAGAACGACTGAATGGCTGATTCCCTACTGAACATCAAGGGTTCCGCAGGTACTCACAATCATCGGTGGTGATAACTGCCTGTGGCACGAAAGTTTGATTTACTGAGGCAATTTGTGAGTGGGCGATTAAGATAAAGCAGGAATGAATGTACCGGGCTGAGAGGTCAGGATGAGGTTACTAGTGCCCACCGTCTTGCTTCTTCTATTCACGAGGAAAATAAGCTCTGATCTGTCCTGCATGGTCTCACTTTCAAGGCCATCACTCGATGGTGCTGCGGTGGTGTTTACATTAGCAGAGGACGAGGAGTCATCTTTTTCGTGAGACTCGCTGACAGAGGCCTTCACGTGATCGGATGCTAGCTTAGGCGATTCAGTGTCGGGGCCCTCACGGAACTCTTTGGAACAAGGCCTCTCCGAAGGTTTATCTCCAGTCTGGCAGCGACTCATGTCCCCAGGCTTGGTGGCAACAGGAACGACCTCAACAGTGGAAGCTTTGCTGCGGGCACCGCTGGGAGAGCGCGGGGCCGAGTTCGGCGAGGACTGGGCTCCACTAACGGGGATGAAGGCTCGCAGCTGCGAGGCCAGGAACTGAACCAGCAGCGCGATGTTGGGCTGGGGCGAGGGGCAAGCTGCATTGCTCGCAGCCTTCACCGGCAGTCGACTGATGAGAGCCGATGCGAAGGTCTGGAACCCGGCACTGTGACACGGCGGGTACATCGGATTGTTCAGGCACATGCCGCCGCTCGGTCGGCTCAGAGGCAGAGACGATCCCTTCACGAGAAAGTGGGCAAGCTCTGCCGGGCTGGGGGTGGAGATGGAGCTCGAGACTGCTCCCGGGATCGATGCATTGTTATTGTTATTGCTGCTGAGGATCTCCCCAATGAAGGCGCTCGCTCTCGGGGCCGGGGCCGAGGCTGAGGCTGGCGCCAGGGCCGGGGCCTGGGGAACGACGGGCGGTCGTTGGTCCAGGCCCGAGTCCTGCCCGAACACATTTCTCTCGTCGTGGAAGGCGGCAGGGATCGGGTCTGAGGAGGGGATGGTGATTTTGAGGCCTCGCACAGGCGGCTCACAGTTCGACTTGAACGGAGGCACTCGGGACGCGAGCCCGAAGGTGGCAAGGTCGGAATCCTCGGCAGTCAGAGCTGCGGGGGTCGCTGGGAGGGCATAGCAACTGGCTACGTCCTTCCGAAGCTTGGGCTTCTGGTGATGGCTGGACACAGCCATCGGGGACGTCGGCCCCAATTTCTCATTCGCGGCTTCGGGGCGGCCATTGCCGCTGGGCTTGCCGGCGGGCGTAATGATGGCCACCAGATGCTTGTTGCCCATGCATATGATCACATCTTCCAGCGTCGCGTCCACGTCCAATTCTTCGGGTTCGGATCCGTCCGCCTTGGCCAGCTGTAGCCGCTGGATGCTGTCGTTCTCGCCGATGAAGACCAGGCGTCGAGCATTTTTCTGCACGCGACATCCCTCCCTCCCGTTAGCTTGCGCCTGCACTGACCATTCGCTCGCCCGCCCGCCATCGCTGCGAGGTGAGAGCGGATCCGTTGTGCAGGCGGTCGCAAATAACGGAAATTCACATCTCTCACTGATTGTCCTCGAATGGGCGCAATTCGGGGCCGGATTGCCAAATTCATCGACGAGGACGTACCTGGATGACTCTGGCGAACTCCTGCAGCGTTTCTGAGACATGCCGTGCGGAGCTCCACTGGTGGCCGCGCACCGACACTGTGAACTTCACTTTCTCGGCCGGAGGTGGGCTGCCTGGGACAAAACCCTTACCTGCTGCTGCTGCTGCCGCCGCCGGCATCATGATTCCCCCGCTGCTCGCTCACATCTTCTCCTTCTCCTTCCCCTTCCCCTTCACCTCAAGCCATCCGGCAGAGTCGACGACGAATTCTGCTCTCGCACAGCACAGATTTCACCACCAGCCCGAGACTCGCCGAATTCACGACCGACGAACCATCCGCTTCATCCCAGGCTCCTCTGACCAGTCTCACTTCGACGAACGAGGAAGAAGTCACGCTCGGCAGCAAGCAATCTGACGCCGCGGGTTGACGAACTCACTCACACTGCGAACTCGAAGCGGAGAGCGACCACTGAGACACCAGTTCCACGCTTCTGCAACGCACCCACCGTCCACGACCGATCACGGCGATCCACGACAAAGGTGGTGCGCGCTTCCGCAAGGAATTCAATCCAATTCACTTCAATTCGATTCGATTCGCTCCGCTCCCATTCACTTGGATCGATTCCATTCCATCCGCCTCCGGGCGCCCGACTCGACTCGACTCATTCCTTGGGGCCCCTCGCTCGCAGACGACAGACAGGGAGTGAGAGACACAGGCGCCGAGGTTTGCGGGCGATGGGACAGCTCGCGGAGCTTCCACAAGCAAAGGAGGCAAAGGCACGGGGCACCGGTTCGCCCCGAGCAGAGGCGGAGGCGGGCGCGGGCGGGCGGGAGTTGAAAGGCAAGGGGTCTTTGCGGGCTTCGGTTTGGCTCGGGCAGCGAAGCGAGGGGGCGCTTCCTTCCAACGCGCGACAGGCCCAGAGCAGGCAGCAGACGCTCCGTGGACCCCGACAGCCTCCCTTCGAAAAGCGGTTGGCGACATTCCCCCCCCCCCCCCCCCCCCCCCCCAACCCCCGGGGCAGCCCCAGCCCCAACCCCAACCCCAGCCCCCGCCCCGCGCCGGGCAGTTACCAAAGCGTCCTCGCCTCTTCTTCTGCACAGGTGGTTCCAACGTCTCCTCCCATCCATCCAATCCTCACGTACATCCGTTTCTCCCCATCATTCGGCGGTCTGTCCGTCCGTCCATTGACTGACTGGATAGACCTTTTGGAACACTCTCCCGTAACTTACTTACCGCACTCACAAACTGGGCACCTCTATATCCAGCGCCAAACCGGACGGGGGACACGGGCCATGTCCTACGTGTCCTCCGGGTGACACGGGGCGGGACTCCAATCGCATCGCCATCCAAACATGTCGTACGTGTACTCCCGTACCCTCGGCTTACCCTTCCTCTCGTTCCGACTCGGCGGCGGGTAGACCACCGGAACGCAGGCTGGCCGTTCGATGAGGGATGGGGAACTGGATGGGTTTTACGCCGGTGCAGAGAGTGCCACCTCACCTCCGTGACATGGCACTCGGTGGACTTTCCAAAGTGGCACGATGACTCGGACCTGTCGTTCCAAGTCATCCTCGCCTGGAGGATGGAATGACACTTCGTTGGGGAAGGGGATGCCGAGAGCTCGACGTGGACTCTGTGGAGAGCCTCGACAGTGTTCCGCAGCGGTGCTCATCCTTCGAAGGCTGCCCCTGCTTCAGCAATTGCTTCCGCGCTCTCGCACGAGGCGGAGCTTCGATCGCGACGCCGAGAGGAGGTTCGCATTCGCACGAGCAGCTTCGGAGGCAGACGCAGCGAGAGCAGAAATTCGACCCGACAAATCGCCGGAGCAAAGTGCCGTCGCGGGCGGGCCTCGCAGAAGCTGCCAGGGTTGTGGATGCGATTCTCGGCAGTCGAAAGCTGGTTTTAGTTCCTCTCCGGACGACTCTGCGAGTTTACGCAGCTCAGAGCAAAGGAAGACAGCGACCGTGCTGTGGGTTTAGGTTTATATTGCCCTTTCTTCGTGTTTGTGTATTTTGTATCGCTTTCGGCGTTTGGAAAGAGTCTTGTGTAATGCCCTAAGCTTCCAAATTTTTATGGACTTTAAAATTTTGCACTCTAACCTAGTTAGTCGTTGGGGGAGGGCACGCACAGACGCTTAATGCCTCAGGGGCATTGTTATATTACAAATGTTTCTTTGCTTTTCGTGCTATAAGTGCTGTGCGAAGTCCTGCAGATCGTCATATTATACATTCATTGAAAGAGCTGGAAAATCTCTCTACGTGAACGACTTGATGCAATTTATGGCGGTTCCATTTTAGCTTGTGGAAATTAGGGCTTTGAAACCGGAGAGTCTCATTTTTAGGGAGGTGAAATAAACTCGCAGGGTGTCATATTTTCAGAATGGAAAACGTGTCCGCAGAATTTCTCCTCATGGTTTCTTGTAGGGCAGGTGGGATAGATCCTCAAGGCGCTGTTCTAGATTTGAACCGCACCTTGGATCGAAGTCCAAAAAATTCTTCGCGCTTTGCTTTGTGAAGTGGACTTTTTCTGTGGTATTTGTTTCGCTGAATGGGGAGTTTTGATAATAAATTGTTTTGCTTGTTTGGCAGAAAAACTGCGTTGTAGGTACTGAATAGTGGTGTGTGTAGTTTTCTTGGGGAAGAATTGAATTCTTCACACTGTTTCTTGGTACTATTCGGTAGTGAGTAAAATGAATTTCTGCTCAAGCAGGCGCGATCAAGTGTAGACATGAGACCTATACCTTCGTCGAATCTGGAGTCAATGTACTGAAAAGGGAGTTATGTCGAGGACTAAAATATCGTAGTAATTCCAAGGTTCAGTCTTTTTGCGAATAGCAAAGAATTCCAGAGTCCATCCGAGATGTTCTTCTCAAAAGTCCTGGATAGCTTTCTATATTTAGGGTTATGGTTTTTACGTCAGATATCTTGGCTATTTTCCCGCATGGTTGTGATGTTTTCTTATTGTAGAACACATAGTCGATGGCCATGTGTATCTCCACACTAATATAAATTGGAAAGCATCGATTTGCTGAAATTTAGTTCTACACGATTAGTTATAGTCCAAATCGTCTTTTTCTCATCAGATTGTATGCGGGCAGAGCAATACACAGCTGATATGCTGTTTGAGATTAGGTGAGGGGACTAATTGTTATGCTCTCTTTGTCAGGTTTGTCGACAATGTCCTACAATAATGTTATCGGTGGCAAGTTGAAGCTGAAAGGCAAGGCGTTGGATGTGAAAGCGGGCGGATTGAAGAAGAAGAAGAAGAAGAGCAAGGAGTCGATAGAGCAGAAGCTTCTCCAACTGAAGGAAAAGGAGGAATTAGAACATGGGTCAGACGCAGAGGAGAAAAGGGAATCTCCGGCACATGACGACCAGGAGGTACAAGGATTAGGAGGAGGAGGAGGAGGAGGAGGAAGTAATGATAGACAACTTGCTGTATATGAGGATCATCGGACACCTGCAGAGAAGAAGTACGATGAGCAGAGAATAGAATTAGAGACACGCCGTCTTGCCAAGGTGGCGAGTAAATCACATAGACAAAAGATTGAGGAGTTTAATCAGTATTTAGCAAACTTGAGTGAGCATTATGACATCCCGAAGGTGGGACCAGGATAGGAAATGGCCGAGGATGCGGTGTTTCCGACGCTGTACGGGGGATTTTTAATTTTACTTTCTGGATATGAAGCGCGAGGTCAGTTCGTGTGATTTAGCAGTATTTTAGAGGACTATCTTATTATGCTCATGACGTTTCATGTTGAACATGTACAATTTGTAGCAGCTTAGACTAGTTAGCTCAGACACTTTCCGATCAAGTGGGAGCAAAGTTTTGCGAAGTTTTTCAGACTCGGAAAAGTGCAATGTATGAGGGAGTTCATTGGGTCGCTGTGAATTATCCCTAGATCTGCAAAATAGAAAGCATTTCAGGATTGAGCTGTTTTAACTTGTCACTTTGTATGTTACCGCATCTTTCAACGAGTAAGCCAAGGTTGGTCTACTCGTCCTCTGATGCCGACATTATGCCGAGTAAGCGAAGGTTGGTAGGGGTCCATTCGCAATGCATTTCCTCTCTCGGAGCGTAGTCTATGTACCATCTTTCACCTGTTGTATGCCAGAAAGACGTCTCATTACACTGATGTCGGAAATCTGTTGCCCAGTCTGCGTTTATCCAATAGATGAAAAGTTGAAAATCTTCCTATCTCGTTCACGTGTGAGAGACGTGTGTGCAAGAGCACTCGGGTTAAAGTGCGAAGAAGTTTTGTACACTGCCTCAGATGCGGTTAGCTCGAGATTCCACCGCCCAGAACCAGCTTTCGACACAGTAATCAAGGTCACTCAATTATGTGTAAATGAGCAATGTTTTTGACTGAGTTAGGTAATAATACATCCTAGTTTTGCATGGTTGAGAATGTGTCATCATCACTCGTACTTAAATTCGACATGACAAGTATTCGAGTGTCTTATCTCATGAAAAGGTTGGTGAGATAGATAATGAAAACGAAGAGAAAACCTTCTCACTTAATGTGCGTAGGCACTTTAGTAGGTTGTTTAATGAATCATTTTTTCATATTTATCCTATATCACATGTATGAAGTGGGCTTAATTGATTAGTTCTCTATCCCTAGTAATCTATTTTCCTGAGGGTATAAATGTTAAACTTTGAGATGTGCATTTTCCCTAATAAATTCTGTCACTCTTGTGTGAAAATTATCTTTAAGCAGTCTTACATTTAAAAAACTCCAATTTTTTTCTACTGCAAGGATAATAAACCAAAAATGAACAATCTAATGCAATAGCTAGTAATACCATCAATGCTAAAACCTACTTATAAGGTCTAAATTTGCAACATTTCTTTCAATTCTACTATGCTCAAAATTTAGTCATCTCCCTAAATGTTTTGTTGATGATTTGGGGAAATAAAAATATAATTGCATAACGTGTAGAAATAATATGGCACCAATTGAGCAATGAAAATGATGATTTTAGTTCAATTTGAACTTTGGAATAATTTAAATTGCTTAAAAAGAAATATATATACATATTGCATCAAGTTTTATTGAGATTCATCCATAATATAGTTATGGAAGAATGCTGTACATAAAATTGACATATCAATTTCAACCTGTATATGTTATTCTATGAATAAAAAAAATTTCAATAATATCATACAGAAAAAAATCATTCTGATTTGATTAAATATTATGTATGTGCAGATGTCATTTTACTCATCCAAGTGTTCGGTTGCTTGAATCAAAATGCACAGTTGGATAATCATATACTGCAATAATGATTAGTAATAATTTAGATCATGTTTACATCATACAATTATGTATGTTTGTAAGGTTAAGCTTTAATAGAAATTATGAAGAAACATATATATGTTCTAAATTTTAGTTATATATACATCAGAGTGAAAAGATTTTTTGTTTCATAATACATTATCATAAAAATATTAATTTTTGAAAAATATTTGAGTATTTATAATATTTTTTCCAATGTATTTTATTGACTTGATTGAAAAATTAGAAAATCCAAAGTTATTAAAAATCTAGATGTTATAGTATATGCTAATACCAACACAAAAATCTTTGGGGTGAATTTTAAAAAAAGTATAGTGAATACTTCTCCAAGAAACAAACTCAATATATGTCTTTATTGTGAGAAAGGTAATATAAACTTGTAATTTGATTTCAACGTAACAAAGATTAAAGAAAATAAAGATTCTTGAGAGAACTAAAGCCTCAACTTGTATGATCTTATTTACTTGAAGATCAAAATGTAATCCACTATGAAAATTTTGGAGCAATCAAAACTAAAGGTGGAATTCAATGGATGTAAAATCATTCCTTGAATCTTTCATTGAGTTTTTGGATGATGAATTTCTTTCTCAGACAAAAAAGTTGACTTACACTTAATCAATCTCAATTTGAAGATGAAAAGTATCATTAGATGATTGGAAAGATTTTGATAAGATGAAATTCATCTTGTGTTAGATGAGTAGGTAGAGCTATGATAATCTTGTGTAGAGATATATAATTCATTTTCTCATCAATAAATAATCTTCAAATGACATTTGTTATGTCTGTGTTGTATTAGATTATTTGAGTTGAATTTCCAATAATAATAAAAAACGGAAATGAAAATCCTTTATGTATTTTATTGAAGGAATAATGAAAAGATTTATCAAGATTTTTTGATTAAGGAATAATGACAGGAAGAAAGAAAAATTGGCCATGTTTTTATCGGAATTTATATAATTTGATTCTAAAATGATAAAAACAGTTAAAGAAAAAATTGTAGAAAAAGCATGAAACTTTTCAACCAGAATATTCATTGAAAAAGTTATTTCAAGTAAAAGTTCTGAGATAATTATGTGATTTTGCATCATGATCTCATAAAAGAAAAATATTTGAATAAATGACAATATATGATTTGAAAATTTTTTTGGCTAACAATCTTGTTGTTCCATGGACTCAGCTCAAGGTTAACAAACCACGTATTTTCTAGTCAGCATGGAGTTTCTTTGATTATGAATTTTAAGTATTCTCTTGCATTTTTGTTATAATTTACATCAAAGCAAAGTTGCAACAAGCGTTAGAGAAACATAGTAACAAGCATGCAAGCAAGAAGTGTAGACATGCATCATCATCTGCTCAATGAGCTTTGTAGAGGAGATAGTAAACAAAACATAGAGATTATATAGCGAAGTACATGCTTACATCCGTTTATGACGATGAGCACACTAGCTTGCAAATTGTAGTGCACAAGTAATTGACTTGATGCATAACATTTGCATATTCAAGAAGAGAATTTTTTTAAATGAAATTGGCGAAAGGATGATATAATTTGAAAAAAAAAATTTCAAATAAAAATTCTTAGATAATGATGTGATTTTGCATCAAGATCTCATAAAAATACTTGATAAATGGCAATATATGATTTAAAAAAATTTGAACAGTTTATTTATTATTCCTTTTTGAACTATTAGATTGACTAGATTTTCATCACAGAGAATTGATAAAGAAATTTTATGTTTTCTTGAGATTCATGAGTTTTAGATGAAAGATTTTGATACAAAGATTCAACATCACATTGACATGTTTGATGATCTTGTGATTGGCTTCAAAATACCAATCAAAAACCAATCAAAAAAAGTCTACAATTTTTTGAGCTCACTATCTGCTTCAAATCAATGTTTGTCATGCGTGTTGTTTCATCTTGATCGGCAAATTATCACTTACCATGAAATGATAAGTGCTTTGTTAATTAATTATATACAACATAAAATTATTTCGACCTTTTTTCCATTCTTTTCTTTTGTAAGGCATTGAATTTGACTTGAGATTGATCATATTCAAATAATAACAAGAATAACAAGATTGTTAGATCTAAGAATAAATCCAAGTGTATGGATACATCTCTAGAGAGAAAGATTATGATATATTGACCAATCTTGACACAATTTTGTCATAATTGTTCACGTTAAAAAGTACTGACATATGAATATCAAATGTGCTAATTCTCTATAGTCAATGAGGCTAAAGAGTTTGATCAAAAGGAGTATGATTTGGTTGAATATGATCTATGATGTCAAAGATATGCCCTCTGTAACAAATCAAGTAATGTTTGTGATGTATGTATTCTAAATAGTGCTTTTTTTATCAAATATATTACAATTTAAAAACATTATTTGGTATTTTTTAGTATTAAATGATTAATTAAAAAAAAATAAGTCTTGTAAGATTGAAATTATTAAATCTATGTATATTGAAATGTTTGTTTTTTTTTTTTAAAAATAGTGCTTGAGGTGGTAATATGTGATAAACTTCTCTTGCTCTTGGAGCTAAGTAATTTGATCGGACTATTAACACTTATGAAGCAGAGCCTAAAATATAATTTTTTGAGATGACTTGCCCAGACCCTGACATGTTAAGAGGTCACAAGCACAACAATGTATTCAGGCTAGAGAGCATTATCATTTTTTGTAAAGTCAATTTTACTAAATTTTAAGTTGAGATGTTTTTTTTATGACATTCTAGGCTATGAAACATGCGTTATAGATGCTTGACACAATTCGACGATATGAGTTTGTTACTTGGCATTGTTATAATTGTCTTAAAACTCTATGAACATACATTAGAGGCAAATCTATGATGTTTGTACTCACAATTTTGAGTTATTTAATATGTACATAGGTATGTACATACTTAAATAGTGAAAATACTCTTCCAAAAATTCATTCTATTGAAAAGTTGTACTATGTATCTTTTATTGATGAATAAAAACTTTTTCTCACTTTATTTTTTACACAAAAGTCTAAAATCTTTGCAATTTCTAAAAATGTGCAAGTCCATGTTCAAATTTAAACTTGACAAAAGATGAGATATCTATGTACGAATATTGACAAGAAGTATATATTTCAAGAGTTTTAAAGTTCATACAAAGAATTATGTTTCAACTCATCATAATCAATACTCCACAACAAAATGTTGTTTTTAAGCAGTTCAATCAAATGATATTGAAGCACTTTATTGAAAAAGTCTAATTAGTCATATGAATTTTGAACTAAAATTTTCAATTCTTCAGTTTATTTGAATTAATTTTTAAACTTTATTGCAATCAATTTTTTCATTCAGTTGAAATCAAACACAAACGTAGGATTGATTACAATTATTCAAAAAAATTTAGATTTACAAATTTTAGTTTTATATCAAAGTTAAATAGTATCAAGTTGGATCTTACTTACATCCAAGAAGATTCATATTCTTAGATATGTTTGAATATCAAAATATCATAAGCTATGAAATCTAGTAACTTGAAATGTTGTAGTCTTTGTTGAGTTTAACTCTAGATAAGAAGTAACCTCAAGTACTAGCTATATTTGGCTAGAACAGTCGTCTACACTGGGGTTAAATACCTGACATCTGCTTGTACATGAAGTAAGTTTTGTGAGTAAAAGTGCAGCGTGTTCGCGGTGGAAGTAGCACGTTCAAAGAGTGAACCACGTTATAATTGATATCAAAGCAATTTCGATTCGGATTTTGTTTCACATCAAATTTTGGTTTGGAGTTTGTGATGATTTTGGTTTTAAACCTTTTGAAAAAG